TGGTAACTGTTGCAGGTTACCATGCAGGGATAACTGTTGCAGGCTACCATGCAGGATGGTAACTGTTGCAGGTTACCATGCAGGAGGGTAACTGTTGCAGGTTACCATGCATTAGGGTAACTGTTGCAGGTTACCATGCAGGAGGGTAACTGTTGCAGGCTACCGTACAGGGTACAACTGTCAATGTTTACAATATCAGTGAGTTTAGAATTTGAGTAAAGAAACTGACATTGACAAATGCGTCGGAAAACGAACGTACTAACATCAGGATTTACTAAGCTACACCAAAACAAAGAATCATCATCCTCGGCGGTGGTCACCAATAAATCTGGACAGAGGAATGCTATTAACGCCCCATTAACCACCCTGTAGGGACCCCTGGCTACCTTGCCCCTTCGCTGCACCACATTATAGTGAACCAAGGATGATGGAGAAATCCAGCTTGTGTAAGCAACTGATATATATATATATATATATATATATATATATATATATATATATATATATATATATATATATATATATATATATATATATATATATATATATAAATAATATAGGGAGGTACCACCTCTAGAACTGTCCTAGGGACCCTCATAGTAAGTAAGTAAGTAAGTTTATTCAGGTATACACAAATACAGTTACATAGAATTATCATACATAGCAGCATATGTGTAGAGAACCTGGGATAACCCAAAAAAGTCAGCAGAGAAGAGAATAAACTTGCTTCAGGGAAAACTCAAGGCTCTCCCTGAAGCTGTTTGAGAATTTTCTCCTACCACCCCCTATGTTTCAAGTATGTTTTATTTAAAGACAAAATACATTGGCCAAACATTATATATATATATATATATATATATATATATATATATATATATATATATATATATATATATATATATATATATATATATATATATATATATATATATATATATATTGTTTTGCTGAAGATGAATATAAATAAGCTGTACGTCGTAAGTTAAGACACGAGAACAATCGACCCTACGAGGCTCGCTGTCTTACCCTCCCTCTCTCTCTCCTTCCCTCCCTAACTCCCTCCCCCACATATCTCCCCGTCCTTTCCGTGGATCAGACAGGAAGGGAGCAATAAACCGAGGGAAAGGACAAACAGTACGATAATAAACAAGAGAGGAGGCAAACACACGCCTAGAGGAATGACGATCAAACAACCGCAGGCGAACACTCCGTGGGTCCACTCAGTGTTTTTTTTTTTTGGAACTCCCACCGTGTGCGGCTACCCTATTATATAAGAGCTAATAATATCAAAATAAGCGATAAACCGGTAAGGGTCATACAGTGCTGCAGGGAGGGGTACGCGACACGAGGAATATTTGAAGGTACGAGTAGAGTGTAAGGGTGTGAACATTCGCAGTGTGCGGCTGCCCTATTATTATAAGAGTTACATGGCGTGAAAGCAGTGAATATCACTCTACTCTCTTACGGGCATTCAAATACCTGGCTTTGATGATGATGCCTCAGTGGGATTCTTCAGCGCAGCTCTGGTGTCCACACTACAGAACGGATACAACTGCGCTGTTGGACATGCATAGAAGGACGACAGAGTTAATGGCCTGAATTAAGAATATCTCACGCTAAGGGAGATTAGCAACACTCAGATTTTCTCTCGAGAATAATGAATGGTGGATCCAGCCTCCGTCACCCCCTGTGCGGAGTAACCCATGTGATTTTAGCACTAATAATAATAAAGTAATAATAATAAATTAATGTAATAATATAATAATAATATAATAATAATTATTATATAATAGAAGTCAGGCCTAAATGAAGACGAAAAATTACTGGGGGGGCACTTGTAGGCCATAAAACTGTACGCCTTGCAACGTAGGCGAGAAAGATATATCATAATCTTCATCCGTAAGATGCTGGAGAGATTGATCTCAAACCTGCACACCGAAATTACTGCTTATGAACACAAGAGGCTTTGCAGACGGTGCAGGATAGCTCCAGTGAAAAGCGGGGAAGCAGTAAGTGTAGAGAGAGCTCAATAATAAGTGTTAAGGGACCGCGACTCTTCAACGCTCTTCAAGTGAAAACTCCTCAGTTTTCTCAAAAAACTGTTCCTGATCAGCCGGGTTGTGGTGCATACGTTGGATTGCAGGTGGCAGGCACTAACAGCTTGATGGATCAGGCCAGCAACCAGGAGGCCTGGTCTGGGACCGGGCAGCGGGAGCGGTGACCCCCGGAAGCGACTCCAGGTATATAAACAAGGTAGTGAAAACATCTCGACACCCTCAACAGTATATAAACACACACACACATGACCGTCAGAATGCAGGCACACGTGTACACAATTACTGCTTAGCTTGTCATGGAAGAATGTGTGTTAATTGTGGTGTGGACGCCCCAACCTACTTGCCCACGCACATAAGACTGCACGCAATCACACTGTGTGTACATGTTCGCACATTATGTATACGTGTTCTTAGACACTGTATGTACCTGCTGTGTACATGTTGGTACACTATGTGTACATATTTCTACGCACAGTGTAAGCATTTTCATACACCCACTGTGTGTGTACATGTTCGTACACACAGTGTGGCAGTACACGTACATGCAGACACATATACTAATGTACGTATAAGCGTTCACAGATGCACACTAATGTGTGTGTGTACCTATTCACACAAATACACACTGTGTGCTCGTTCACACAGGGAAACTTACATAAACACATGGGTGAGTAATGGGTGAGGGTGATGGGTGAATGATAGGTAGGGAGATGGGCACGGTGATGGGTAAGGGTGATGAGTAGTGATGGGTAGGATGATGGATTGAGTGATGGGTATGATGATGGGCACAGTGATGGGTAAGGGTGATGAGTAGTGATGGGTAGGATGATGGGTTGTGATGGGTATGATGATGGGTAGGGTGATGGGTAGTGATGGGTAGCATGGGTAGGGTGATGGGTGAGGATGGGAAGGAGGTGCACCACACCGGTGTATAACTCAACAATTTCTCAATAAAACTCATTGAATTATTCATAGTCTCCACCTCCAGTCAACACTCAAGACTATTTCTCTCCATCTATGATGCCCATTATACCCACTTTACCACTTATCTATACTACAGCTGCAAACAACTATAACTACAAACTACAACTCCAATTACTACTACTACTACAACTTTTACTACTGCCGATACAAAAGCATCGATACGTTTCCTTATAGCCGATTCCTCTCACTTTTTACATTATTATAATCAAAAAGAAGCGCTAAACCACAAGGGCTATACAGCCTTACTTTTTACATTATTATTGCACAGGGGAGCGGTGCCCCTCTCCCCCTCACGGGTTTCTCATTGTGTACAGTTTGAAATCATATTTGCTCTCCGGGAGATATTTTCTCCACCTTATCCATATCTCACTTAGTTATCCAAGGTTCATTTTATCCAAGGTTCCATTATACAAGGTTCATTTTATCCATGATTCATCTATCCAAGGTTCACTGAACCAAGGTTCATAATGGCCAGACAGAACGGATAATAAAAAAACAAGATTTGTATCGTCATGTTTATTTCATCCCGGGAAGAAACAGCAGCGCTCCTGACGCAGCTGCTATGTACTCATAACCTGGGCTCACACACACGGCTGTTATGTGCAGCATGTACTCATAACCTGGGCTCACACACACGGCTGTTATGTGCAGCATGTACTCATAACCTGGGCTCCCACACACGGCTGTTATGTGCAGCATGTACTCATAACCTGGGCTCACACACACGGCTGTTATGTGCAGCATGTACTCATAACCTGGGCTCACACACACAGCTGTCATGTGCAGCATGCACTCATAACCTGGGTTCACACACACAACTGTTATGCGCACCATGTGCACTCATACCCGGAGGTTATTCCGGGGATCAACGCCCCCGCGGCCAGATCCACCACCAGGCCTCCCGGTGGATCAGGGTCTGATCAACCAGGCTGTTACTGCTGGCCGCATGCAGTCCAACGTACGAACCACAGCCCGGCTGATCCGGCACTGACTTTAGGTATCTGTCCAGCTCTCTCTTGAAGGCAGCCAGGGGTTTATTGGTAATTCCCCTAATGATTGATGGGAGGCTGTTGAACAGTATTGGGCCCCGGACACTTATAGTGTTTTCTCTTAGTGTACCAATGGCGCCCCTACTTTTAATTGGGGGTAGTTTGCATTGCCTGCCCAGTCTATTTCTTTCGTAGGAAGTGATTTGTGTGTGCTCACACACACGGCTGTTATGCACAGTATGTGCACACATAACCTGGGCTCACACACACGGCTGTTATGCACAGTATGTGCACACATAACCTGGGCTCACACACACGGCTGTTATGCACAGTATGTGCACACATAACCTGGGCTCACACACACGGCTGTTATGCACAGTATGTGCACACATAACCTGGGCTCACACAATTACAAAATTCATTCTCTTTATATAACATATATTGCAAAACAATTCCCAGATTTCGCAAAATTCTTTGAAAGAAATATCAAAATTTATAACAAATCTTCAATGTGTTTAGAAAATAAAGCCTACCATGGCTAGCTCATACACAGCCTACCATGGCTAGCTCATACACAGCCTACCATGGCTAGCTCATACACAGCCTACCATGGCTAGCTCATACACAGCCTACCATGGTTAGCTCATACACAGCCTACCATGGCTAGCTCATACACAGCCTACCATGGCTAGCTCATACACAGCCTACCATGGCTAGCTCATACACAGCCTACCATGGCTAGCTCATACACAGCCTACCACGGCTAGCTCATACACAGCCTACCATGGCTAGCTCATACACAGCCTACCATGGCTAGCTCATACACAGCCTACCATGGCTAGCTCATACACAGCCTACCATGGCTAGCTCATACACAGCCTACCATGGCTAGCTCATACACAGCCTACCATGGCTAGCTCATACACAGCCTACCATGGCTAGCTCATACACAGCCTACCATGGCTAGCTCATACACAGCCTACCATGGCTAGCTCATACACAGCCTACCATGGCTAGCTCATACACAGCCTACCATGGCTAGCTCATACACAGCCTACCATGGCTAGCTCATACACAGCCTACCATGGCTAGCTCATACACAGCCTACCATGGCTAGCTCATACACAGCCTACCATGGACAATTCATACACAGCCTACAAAGAATGAATTATATACAACATACCACGGATAGATCATACACAGCATACCGTGAATAGCTCATAAATAACAAATATATATATATATATATATATAAATATATATATATACATTATGTACATTGTATCAGCGTATGACTCGCTGAGTCCTCGAAGTTCATAACATTTTATCAGTCTAATCATGACATCCGAATATGATGTCCAACCATGAGGTGTAACCATGACCAACTTGGTCACGGTTACATCGTGACTGGCGCAGTTCACAGAACACCATAATTTAGAAGGTAGACGGAGCTTTGGTCCATCTCCGATAATGGTACCAGGAAGGACCGAAACGCCGTTAGTTGCCACCTAGAATTTGTGGGTTAGTTTGTGAATTTGGCGCTAACATTGCTTAGCAAGGCATGTCACACGTGCAGGTGACGATGTGGACACGAGCCTCATCTTCAACCTACTTTGAGAACCTGAGTAGGTGACGAGGTGACAGGAACCTCAGATTCAATATACTTTGAGAACCTTAGCAGGTATTGAGGCGGACAGGAGCCTCGAATTCAACCTACTTTGAAAACCTGAGCAGGTTTTATTACAGGTGTTTGTTGACATGGTGACAGGACGTCGGGTGAAGGTTACCTGAAAACTTGTTCCGGGAACAGGTGTCTGTTTACATGCAAGGAGGAGAGAGAGGACTCCAGGCATGGGGAGAGGCGGTGCTGTACGTACAGAGTGGGTCTGTCAGCCCCTCCTCCTTGATGCGTGACATGTCGGTGTTTTGGACAGCCAGTCCGCTGGGGTAGCCCAGGTCTGGTAGGATGAACATGTCTGCTTGGGTGGTGTGACTGAGAGGTGGGGACCCCGCCGACTGAGGAGATCCGTCCCCTGTGCTGTGATGATCCGAGGAGTCTTCGTGTAGTCGACCGCCGCCGTAGATACCTGCAGAGGAGCCCAGGACTGACTCATATAAGGGAGAGGAGCGGCTGGTAGTGAAGCCCTGAGGGTCGGAGTATGTAGACATAGGGGTGAGAGCCTCCTGTGGGGAGCGGTGAGCGTGGTGGGTGGAGTGTATGGGCGGTGTGCTGGTGGTGGGGTTGGGGAGAGTCATGCCTGCGACGCCACACTGCTGGTAGCCTTGGTAGAACCCAGCGCTGTGGTGGGATGGGTGGGTGTAGCCTCCCTGCAGGCCCGTCCACTGGTAGTGTGCAGGCGTGACGGTGGTGGAGGGTGTGATGGAGGTCTGGTGATGGTGGTGGTGACCCCATGACTGTTGGCGCCATTCAGCAGCCAGACCAGCCAGACCGTAGCTGCTAACGCCTGCTGCTTGCTGCTGCGACATGCTGTTCACTGCAACAAACAAAAATTTTAACTGCTGTTGAGCCAAGACCCTGACAGGGCTGTAGGGTGACTGTATGTCCCCCACTCTAGTATGACAATAAGTAAGCTTATTTAGGCACAGGTACACTTAAGTACAGAGTGGAAGTTACCTACGATAATCCAAAAAAGTCATTGAGGTCCTTGTAATACCTTATTATTTAAACCTTAAACGTTAAAAACGGCTAAGTTATTCAACTGTGTGAGAATCACTTACAATGAGAGATATACTAGGAATAAGGTAAACTGAGTTATTTATATTAACATTAAAGAGATGGTTAGCTTACAACAAAAGGTACAGGAATGTTAGCTATACAAGAAATCATTCTCCTCTCTTTCTGTAGCATCTTCTCCCGTTCTATAGCATCTCCCTTTCTGTGGACAATGGTCGCGGGGGTGACTGAAGGTCTCCAGCTCTAGCATCAGTGTTGAGCTAAGGCTCTGACAATGGCCGCTGAGTGACTGAAGGTCCCCCACGCCTTAGCACCTTCGTCCAAATCTCAATAATCCCCAACAATCTCTTGGGCAAACTTGTGCGCGTAATTAATTTATTAGTCACCTTGGGAAAGAAGGGCCCAAGTTGTGAGCCATTATCCCCCATGATGGCTGGGCCCGCCTACGACCAGTTACCTTCCACCGCCTCAAAGCACTGTCCCGAAATATTCATTGATATTTGTTTTCCCCTACACTGTTATGAAATTTATATAAATGGTCCCTACTAGTCTAAAACTAAGCCAGTTTTCCGGCACATACCAGAAGAGGCTTAGGTCCCTATGCACGATGATCAGTGAACACTGTGCGGACGTTATCGGTTTGATCGACTGTTGTAAAAGGTACCGTTCGAACCCAGTCGGCACGGCTGACGAAGCAACTGACACAGGGACACTTGGGGTCTTAGTTGGTACACTGTGGTGGGCTGGAGCGACCATACAGCAGCTGTGGTATACCACTCTTTACCTCCAGCCTCGACACTAGGACATGAAGGCGGGGAAAGCAAAGTATTTATCATGCTCACCTGTGAAGGTTGCCACAGGAACCAGAGACAGACAGACAGACAGAAACAGAGAGAGAAAAGATTTCCGTCCTTACTGAGATATCTGAGATATATTTTGTATTGATGAAAAATTAGACACACGTGGAACATCTGGGTATCTTTACTGTAGACGTTTCGCCATCCAGTGGCTTTTATCAGTACAAATTCAAAGACATAACTGGAAGACAAAAGATGAGGTAATCAGTCGCTCAGCCTTAGAGTTGGAGAAGGTCACTGTAATCTCGAAGTCTGAAGCACAGGCTCGGAAGATTAGCATTTATATACTGGCGTCAGGTGAGGGACGTGTAGCAGACGAAGACATTGTCACTGGTAGGTGTTTTCTTACACAAGATATATGCTGTATAACGTTCCGGCACTTAAACTTGTGTGTGTGACCTAATTCAGGTCTGCATAAGTAACCCATTACGAATGTTACCAGATATAAACATGTAAATAGTTCATTACCACTGTAACTTGTTCATCTATCAAAACTTTGGGGCCCAGTTTCTGGACCCATTATGTACCTCTTTAACCTTTAGACTACCGCCCACAGGATGAGTATGGGGTGCATAATAATGATGTTAAACTAACGTTCCAGCAGCTACTGCAGTTTTCCAACACATTTTTCCCTGGGTATGACCCACAGCAGTGAGCTAACAGATACCTATTTTTGCTGCTAGGCTGGCAGGGGCAGCAGGAGTGTAAACCTACTCACGTATTTCTCTGTTCCAGGGAATCGAACACGGGGCCTTGCAGTTGTGAGTCGAATGTTCTCATAAGTAAGCTGTCGCAAATGAGAGATTTATTTAGGAAAATTGGGCGCATCAGCAGTAAGCTGCTACCTTATTCTACACGATAGTGACACAGTGGGAATAAAAGCTAGCTATGTATCCCTGGTATATTTCATCACGAAGGATGGATCACATACATAGTGTTGAAATCAGTCAGCTGGAAGATTTCAGTAAAGCAGAGAGGCTACATGAAGTACTTCAACTATTGGAGTTTCAGAGGCTTCCATCCAGCAGAGCTGGAGCTACTATCACTTGGGATCTGCCATCTCAGGATGGCAGACGAAAGATGGAAGGGAAGAGCTCAACTGAAAAGTAAGGTGTAGAATAAAGATTGATATAAAGCAGCACAGGTCATAGCCTAAGAGGTAGGAGGCTCACCTGGGGGAGTCCTGGTCGTCCTCGGGGTGGGAGAAGTGTAAGGGACGACCCTGTGGTTCCTCATGTTGACGGCGATGCGTGAAGACAGAGTGACGGGGGGCGGAGTCAAGGCCATCCCTGGGGGAGGAGCCTGTCCGTAGGCCACGCCTCCGCTGCACATCCCCGCCCCGCCTCCCATGTACCAGCCATCTGCCAACAGTGATTGGTTGATTAGTAACGACGGTGCCTGTATCTGATTGGCTGATGTGGGGGAGGGGAATTGGAAAGATAGATGCCATCTAGGGTGACATGTCACTGGTTGATTAGTAATGACAGTGCCTGTTAATGTGCCACTTGATTGGAAGATAAGGAATGACGGTGCCTTCACCTGATTGGCTGAAAGGGAATGAAGTGGGTGGAGCTTACAATGTTTACAAATATTAGAGAGGTCCCAATGTGGGTGAGATAGTCCCACTGTGAGTGAGATAGTCCCACTGTGGGTGAGATAGCCCCACTGTGGGTGAGATAGGCCCACTGTGGGTGAGATAATCCCGTTGTGGGTGAGATAACCCCACTCTGGGTGAGATAGTCCCACTGAGGGTGAGTTAAAGCCCCACTGTGGGTGAGATAGTCCCACTGTGGGTGAATCAGCTCTACCCTGTGAGATAAGTCCTACTGTGGGTGATAACTCCTATACTCCATAAAGTGTGTAATATAACTGACAACCCACGACCTGGATGTGATGACTGGACACAAACCACAAGACCACAAATTACACCAAATTAGACCGAAAAATCGTCCAGTCACATCTCACAGTCGTTATCTCTAAACTGTTCCAGCCACGGTACCGTGAGTTTTTCGACAGAGGGTCGATCCTCCGCCCTCTTCCTTGTGGTTGCCTACAAGTTGACAAAAGGATCGAACTTCCGCCCTCCTCCTTGCCTGGAATGACCTCTTCTCCCGGCTCAAACACCAGCTTAGAGAATAACTATACTTTAGTGCATCACACTTTTAATCGAAACTGTTGATAATTTACGGACTATTTCCTGTTTTCCACTAAAATTAAAATATTTTGACTAAAAATCCAATTTTTTAAGTTAAAACACCTTTACTGGCCTGCCTAAGCAGGCCAATAAATATAGTGGCCTACCCAGTAAAAGGTTATCCCTTTACCGGGTAGGTTTATCCTTTTTAAGAGATGCATTTTTACAAGTATAATGAATAAATATGTTAATTTTGTTGTTAGCAACTTCAGCAGGCATATAACTGTGTGAAATTCTAAGGGTGTGTGAAACTCTAAGGGTGTGTGAAACTTGAAGAGGAGAAGTAATTACGGCGTTGATGCCTCGGTGCAAGACGTACACTGCTGGGGGTGAGGTTGAGAGTAAGCTGCCATCATGTCTCGCTGGGTGTGCAGGTCCGGACGCTCCTTGGAGTCCAGGAAGGCCTTGGCGAAAGGGTTGTGCTTGATCTTGAGCGCCGTCACCTGTCAAGGTCAACAAACACTCAGTAATAATGGTAGAATTACCGACAAAATGACTCACGAAATCATTATGACACGATTGCAAACAAACCACGGTACGGGTGGGGCTTGAACTCGCTGCAAGTGAGACAAAACGATGAGTAAATGGACACAGATGAAACTAGAGCGACGTTATATTGTGGCATTGAATTGTCTGTAACGGCTTGACAAAGCTCCTGGAGAGCGAAACGTTGCCACAATAAAATGTTATGGTAGTTGCATCTGTGTCCACTTACCTAACATACTCTCAGTTGTAACACAAAATAACACATGTCAAGTACACAAGTAGATCTCCAGTGCTAATTTTGATTATTATTACTACGAATTATTATTATTATTATTATTATTATTATTTATTATTATTATTAATTATTATTACTGATTATTATTATTATTATTATTGTATTCACAGGGAGGTGCTAAACCCTTAGGAAGACATGCAACACCTGGGAAAACTAGAGGTAATTAGGTTTGATCCATGAAAGAGGAGAACAGCTCCAATATCCTGAATCAAGATCCCTACAGTAGCATGAATCTTCCCTCCCCCCTGAAAAAGGGGAGGAGCTGGAGGCTCCCTCCGTCCAAGGATAGCCTTCAGCCAGACACGACAGGTGTTCTGATGCCAGTGAAGGGCTCCTGATCCAGAGAACTGGAGTTACCCTTCCTTTGGCAGAATCTATGGCCCTTCCCCAGGCACTGTATGGCCCCTACGAGGTGGATAATGGGAGGGATAACAAGAACTTTCAACCAGGGAAAATAGTGCCAATGGTGACACTTCTAGTCCCTCATGAGAAATGGTATGGTGATTTCGCCACTCGTGGCGAAACGTTTCCATAATAATTGTCCTGAATTGTACATAAGTGTATTTTTCCACAAATCGCTTGGGGTATTGTTTAGTGTTGATGGTCCTGCTCAGGGCAGAAGACATTAGAACTGAAACGAACACAAAGATCATTTACAGCCCACACACAACCTATAAAATATTTCAGTTACTGGGAACACCTCAAAGTTATAAATATGTACTAACTGGAGAAGAGAAAGAGAGATACATGACAATATATACCTGTAATGTTCTTAAGGGACTGGTCACAAATCGATACACTGAAAAAAATCTATATTCTGCAGTGAGAAATATGAGAGAAAGTGTAGAATAAACCCAGTGAAAAGCAAGGGTGCAATGAAAACTATGGGAGAACACTAACAACGTCCGTGGTCCCAGACTAACTTCATACCAGAAGATAAAGAAACACTGCTGGAACCAGTGTACCAGTCTTCAAGAGGAAACGCAACAAGTACATCCGCCAAGTGCCAGATCACTCAGACTGTGGTGGATATGTGGGTCAGCTAGCCGGCAGCAGCAACAGCCTGGTTGACCAGGGAAGCACCAGACGAGGTTGGCCCAGGGCCGGGCTGCGAGAGGTGGGAAAACTCTCGAAACTAAGGATGTGCCAAAGGACTGGTATCGGTATCGGCCATTTTTACGGTATCGATGCAAACACCCACACCCACCACACCCACACCCACCACATCCACCACACCCACACCCACCATACCCACACCCACCACATCCACCACACCCACACCCACCACACCCACACCCACCACATCCAACCACACCCACACCACTACACCCACACCACTAACCCACACCACTACACCCAATACACCCACCACACCCACACCACTACACCCACACCACAACACCACAACCACTACACCCAATACACCCACCACACCCACACCACTACACCCACCACACCCACACCACTACACCCACTACACCCACCACACCCACACAACCACACCCACACAACCACTCACACCCACTACACACACCACACCCACCTACTCAATACCCACACACCACACCACTACACCACACCACCACACCCACCACACCACACACCACCACACCCACTACACCACACCACCACGCCACTACACCACTACACCACTACACCCACACCACCACACCCATACACCACACAACACCACACCCACTACACCCACCACACCCACACACCACTCACCACACCACTACACCCACTACACCCACCACCACACTCACCACCCCACTACAACCCACACCACTACACCACCACCACACCACACCCACATACACCCACTACACACCACACCCACATACCCACACCACCAACCACACACCACCCACACCACCACCCCCACACCCCACACCCACCACACACACACCACCACACCACACCATACACCACAACCTACACCCACCACACCACCACACCACTACACCACCACACCTACCACACCACTACACCACCACACCCACTACCACACCACCACACCCACACCAACACCCACAACCACCAACCACACACCCACTACACCCACACACCCACTCACCACACACCCACTACACCCACCACACCACACCCACTACACCACACCACACACACCACCACACCCACACACCCACTACACCCACCACACTCACTACACCCACACACACCACACATCACCACACACCACCACACCCACACACCACACACCCACACCACCACACTCACCCAACACACCCACCACTAACCAACTCACACCACCACACCACCAACCACTACACCCACCACAACCCACTACACCCACACCACCACACCACACACCCCTATACCCACACCACCACCCACCACACCCACTACACACTCACCCACACCACACACCCACTACACCCCACACCACACCACTACACCCCAACAACCCACCACACCACTACACCCACACACCCACCACACCACATCCACCACACCCACTACACCCACCACACCTGCACCCACCACACCACCACACCCACTACACACCAACCACACACCACCACACCCACTACACCCACCACACACACCCACTACACCCACCAAACCACCACACCCACTGCACCCACCACACCCACCACACCCACTACCACCACTACACCCACTACAACCCAACACCACCACACCCACTACACCCACCACACCCACTACACCCACCACACCCACTACACCCACCACACCCACTACACCCACCACACCCACTACACCACACACTCACTACACCACACCCACTACATCCACCACACCACCACACCCACACCACTACACCCACCACACCCACACCACTACACCCACCACACCCACATCCACCACACCCACTACATCCACCACACCCACTACATCCACCACACCCACTACACCCACCACACCCACTACACCCACTACATCCACCACACCCACTACACTCACTACACCCACCACACCCACTACACCCACCACACCCACATATTAAGTCTGTGTTTTTACGTAAATGCTCAATAATCTTATTTAAACAATACTATTTTAATTATATTAATTCCTGTTAAAAAATCTTTCGAGAACACGAATAATAGTAATTATAATTATTTATTATTATTGCAACGATAATAATTACAATAATAATAATAATAATAATAATAATAATAATAATAATAATAATAATAATAATAATAATTATAATAATCTTTTGTGGAGAGGCAAGGAAACGGAAGAAGGTAGATAGGGAGGGAGAGCAAGAGACAGATAACCAGGGAGAGACAGCTAGGGAGAGAGAGCTAGAGAGAGAGAAAGAGAAAAGAGAAGTTAGCCACGAAGAAAAAACCCACATATTTGTGATTATCTAAATCCTGGATTAGTGTGTGGCTGGTGCAAGTGCACTTCCTAATGTGTTTAAGGACGCCACGGTCATTCAGCTGTGTCTCCGCTAATGACGGACGTTCAGCGGTGTGTCGCCGCTATGACGGACGTGTAGCAGTGTGTCGCTGTTCTGACGGATGCTCAGCGGCGAATCACCGCTGTGACGGACGTTCAGCGGCGAGTCGTCGCTGCAAGAAACGCACAGCGGTACCACCACCGTCTCTATCACATTTTATGACCTACGTAATCGAGTCTACCAGCCATTGTTTGTGATCCATAACAGTGTCCACCAGTGGTAGAACAAGTCTAGAGCTAAGTGAATACCACACAAGGGGATATGTGATGTCACCATGGTTGCTTAATATATCTATATATATGTTTGTAAAAGAATTAAATGCTAGGGTAGTGGGGAGAGGTGTAGGATTAAAAGATAATAAATGTGATAGGAAGTGCGCCTGCTGATGACACTGTTCTTTTGGTGGAGTTTAAGAAGTTACAAGCGTTAGTGGGCAAAGTGGGAAGGGTGTGTAAAAGAGGGAAACTAAAAGTGAACACATAAAAAGAGTATGGTGATGAGAGTAACAGAAATATTAGGAAATGAAAACTAAGATATGATAGTGGAGGGAGGGAGTATGAAGGAAGTGAATGTGTTTAGATTTTTGGGAAGTGGACGTGTCGGCAGATGGGTCTACGAATGATGAGGAGAACCACAGAATAGATGAACCAAAAAAAAAAAAAGGTGGGTAGTGTTGAGGCATCTATGGAGGCAAATAACTTCAGCTATGGAGGCAGAAAGAGGAATGTACCAGAGTATTGTAATACCAACTCGGTTATATGGGTATGGAGCTTGAGTTGAAACTCTGATGTGTATATAAATGGTCAAGAGAATCCATAAGTTAATAAATTAGATACAAATGCAACACTTGGCTATTTTTATTGTGAAAACTTTTCGCCTCATAGTGGCTTCATCAGTCCAATACAAAGAAGAATGGTGAAGATCGGTCTCCAGGCTGAGGGACTGACTACCTCAAACTCCTTCTCATCTTCACCATTCTTCTTTGTATAGAACTGATGAAGCCACTGTCTGGCGAAACGTTTCCTCAATGAAGATGCCCAAGTGTTACATATGTGTTTAATTTATCAACCTGTCGGTTCTCTGGACCATTTATCTAGATTCAGATTTAAAAAGTATTTTAAGTAAGTACATTCAGGCACAGGTACACATAATTACAATTATCATACATAGTGTAAATTACTTAGGATAACCCCAAAAAAAGGTCAAGGTGACTTATTTCCATTAGTGAATATCTGTTGCCAGTTTGCCGCTAAGTGAGACACTTCCAGGTAGTATTATTAAAGCTAATACCTCGGGTAGCTTCAAAAAATAAAGTTAGAAGAAATACACGAGGGACTGGCTCGTTGAATTTCAAGCTTATCAACTACACCATGATCTTTAAGGCTGCTTGTAGCTTATTCACCACCAGTGAAGAACATTTAATACATAAAACAGAGATTAATCTTTCGTTGTATATACACTGAGAGTTATACTTACACCTCTTGGTGTATGTATCCTGTGATGTACGTGGGAATGATGGTGTATCAGTGGTTTTGGTTGTGTATGAGTGGAAATGGGAGGGTACGAGTGGAAATGGTAAGGTATGAGCGGGAATAGTAGGGTATGAGTGGGAATCGTAAGGTATGAGCGGGAATGGTAGGGTATGAGTGGGAATGGTAGTGTACGAGTGGAAATGGGAGGGGTATGAGTGACACTTCCCTCTTCACTCCTGCTTTATTTTTGTGCTATTGTAGATACAGGAGATAAAAAAAAAACGATAACATAGTACTGACCTCCTCGTTCTGATAGGCGGTGACGGCGATGAACTGACACTCAGGAAAGGAGTGGCAGGAGATAGTTCTCTGTTCTCCACCCACCTGAACCACACGCAGCCGGGGCTCGTACTTGTGAAGACTGTTGAGCATGATCTGTAGGGGGCAGGAGGTGACCTGAGTGGTGTTCATCTGAGCGGTGCTCACCTGAGCGGTGCTCACCTGAGTGGTGCTCACCTGGGTAGCTCAGGTGATCTCTAAGGCAGAGGAAGGTGGGGAGGGTGAGGTAGGGGAACGAGGAGGAGGTAAGGAAGGGAAGAGGCTAGGGGTAATTAGCCAAAATATTATGGGATAGAGACTTAGGGTGTTGATGGAGGGCCAGGGAAAATAATCCCTATACTCATCTAAATCCAGTGACTATAATTTGTTAAGTTAATTACTGACGCAGTTAAATCAATTATAATTTGCTAATATTTAAGAATCAAAATAAATAAATAATTCTTTTATATATAACTGTAAACAAGACATTATATTAAGAAATTTTTAGGTGACAGGATATATTAATATACTTAATAGTTATAATTATAACCATGATTTTTAAAGTGGTGGAGAGGTAAGCCAGCGGAAGGTCTCGGTCAGATGACCAAAAGCTCCAGCTGCGGGTCATCATATGACTAAGACTCACGTCAGGAAACACTTGTCCTGTTTCCTAACATACCTTACCTTACAAGATCTATTACAAAATTCCGTCAAGAAATTCAAAGTTGCAGGTTTTAGACGAGATGTGTTACTGCGATACAAAAATAACGAATGATGTACATAGGCTATTCTTCAATGACTAGGCTGCGCCCTTGTTAAGTACGTTCGTACAGGTACACATAAATACAGTTACACAAATTATCATACATGGTAACATGTGTATATTAAGCTAGAATAACTCTCCCCCCAAAAGTCAACGTGATTTATTTGTACTGGAGATTAATGTTTGCTAGGAAAAATTCTCTCCGGCACTTGGAACTATTGCAAAACGAACCCCACAGAATTATTCTTGGCTATCTTAAAACCGCCTCATTAACTAAGAACTATAGCAACCCTGTCTGAGTTAGACATAACTGGGCGTCTACGCTGAAGACTGAATTGTTTGCCATCCTGTCTTCACTAAAGCCAACTGACTCACATAATGACTAACAATATGCTCATTGCAGAAGCCAGATATCAATACTAAAAAATAGAGAAACTTCAACTAATGTATCAAACAGCAAATTACTCCTTCATGATAAAGTTGATAAGCTGGCCAAAGAAAGTACCCTGAAGGAGAAAGTAAATATAACTTTGGTATATCTGTGTCTAGCATTAGGAGAGAAGTAAATACTGAAAGTGAATGTCAAAGGAATGCAGTTAGAAGCCTGAGTAGATCTATCACTATGGTAACAAGAACGTAGATAAGCATGTCGACGGGAGCAATTTGTAATGTGAACACTGACTGATGTAGTAGGCTTAGGCTGGTTACAAGTACTTCTAAAAGTTGTAGAAGCCAGGCTTAGGCTTGGTTACTAGTACTTCTGACAGCTGTAGTAGCCAGGCTTAGGCTTGGTTACTAGTACTTCTGACAGTCTGGAAGATACACACATCAAACCAAATACAAAGTATGTGGTCAGTCCTATGGTCACTACCTTGAACACTATGTGCCTTAATTGTCCACTTACTGAGGAATATAGAAATATGACAGTGTGTGCTATAGACAGTATAATAACCTATGTGATATATCAAGGTATTTTATTAATGAAAATAAGATACCAGACATATTAAGCAAATATCCTAATTATGAATGGAACAGATAACTACAGATATAAATCCAAATAATTTCCGTGATTTATATCTAAAGGATGGACACAAGGTGCACAATAAACTAACCACTACCCTCCAATGGATGGATATGAGATACACAATAAACTAGCCACTACCATCCACAGGATGGATATGAGGTGTGCGATAAAGCAGTTGCGTTTGCGGCAAAATCTTGTCCTACACCTGTTACACCTATACCTGCTACTCCTACATCTGTTATTCCTGCACCTGTAACACACGCGGAAGCATCTAGATAAGGTGTGAAGAGGAACGTACGATGGGTGAACGAACAAGGGCAAAAACAGTGAACGAAATCGTGGACAAGGCAGTAGTTACGAAGTAGGAAGAAAGTGTAACGAGCGAGGGGACAAGGGAACGACTGTGAGCGACTAGAGAACGACTGTGAACGACTAGGGAACGACTGTGAACGACTACGGAACGGCGAACATGGTGGGGTGGAGCGGCCACAGTGTACGTTCAGGGTGTGACTATCCCTCGCTGACCTAACACCTCACAGTGTAAACACAACTCTCTCTCATACACACACACACACACACACACACACTAGTGTTCGTATTATTATTATAATCAAGGGGAAGCGCTAAACCCGTAGGATTATACAGCGCCTGGGGGGGGGGATGTGGAAGGCATTCAGGCTTAATTCGGGGAACTGGAGCACAGATTCAATTCCTTAAATCAAGAGCCCCTCACCAACATCAAGGAACCTTCCCTGAGGGGATATACTAGTGTTCGTAAGGAAGACTGCTGTCAAGATTGTATACGTAAATTGTAAACATTTAGAAGGACACCTGACCAGCACTTCCTGCCTTAACATGACGACTTAATAAAGTTCCGGTCCGCTTTATTGAGCTCCCGGAAAGCGATCGTTGGGGGAAATTTACTGAAGTTGTAAACTGATGTCATTAAAAAAATGCAAAATGGTTGGGTGAACAGCGTAATAAATGTGACAGGCACGGGTGGCCCCCAACACGGATAGGGGCTCACTCGTGCTGTGGCCCACAGAAGAGCACCGGACACAGCGCTGACACAATACACTGCTCCAAGCACTTTAGTCTGGTGCTCTGTGAAGAGCTAAGTGATTTACAGTTTTACAAGGGATAGAGAGTGTGCCGGGGAGGGACACTAGTGCCAGCGGTGGGTTGTAAACTGCCACAGACCAGAGCAGAGAGCCAGCGGGCGGTCTTCCTGACCACACCACCAAACCTCACCACTAACGCAACGATACGAGATACGTTGTTTTTACCGAGCCAGTTAGTGATCGCTACGGCAGGATTTACAGCGGTTGTTCAGCTCTGAAGCATGTGACAACAAACCCACGAGAACTTGATTTATTATAACCCAAGACCGAATGAGACCGAATGATAGATAGGGAAGAGGAAGTGAGGGAGGGCATGGACCACATGTGGAGGGCCTCTGGACCACCAGTGGCCCAGTGTCATCGACCATAAACTATGTGCATGCACCCTCCTCCTCCATTATGTTTACAGCAGTCCACTGCCCTTGTTTTCTGAAGATCTTAATTACTGAGCGTCGCGGTGCGTCCATCCAGGCGCAGGAACGTCAGTTGGTGGTGGTCGTACCCAGGGTGTGAGGGAGGGCAACACCTACAACAGTGTTCTCACAACAAGAGTAACTACCATCTAAATAGTTTAGAAACTCGAAAAGTTGGAGATTGACACACTTAGGCTGCGGTTCGTACGTTGGGCTACGTGCGGCCAGCAGTAACAGCCTGGTTGATCAGGTCGTGATTCCTGGAGTTTACCTGGAGAGAGTTCCGGGGGTCAACGCCCCCGGGGCCCGGTCTGTGACCAGGCCTCCTGGTGGATCAGAGCCTGATCAACCAGGCTGTTGCTGCTGGCTGCACGCAAACCAACGTACGAGGCCTGGTCATGGACCGGGCCGCGGGGGCGTTGACCCCCGGAACACCCTCCAGGCTGAGGGACTGATTACCTCAAACTCGTCCTTATCTTCCACCGTTTTTCTCTGTAATGGACTGAAGAAGCCAATTACTTGGATTAGGATAGAAGGTCGCAAGATTCTTTTACACACGTACAAGCATCTTGTACACTGGAGGTGAACGCAAGGGAGTAACTCACCCATGGTAAGGTGAACGCAAGAGAGTAACTCACCCAGGGTAAGGTGAACGCAAGAGAGTAACTCACCCAGGGTAAGGTGAACGCAAGAGAGTAACTCACCCAGGGTAAGGTGAATGCAAGAGAGTAACTCACCCAGGGTAAGGTGAACGCAAGAGTAACTCACCCAGGGTAAGGTGAACGCAAGAGAGTAACTCACCCAGGGTAAGGTGAACGCAAGAGAGTAACTCACCCAGGGTAAGGTGAACGCAAGAGAGTAACTCACCCAGGGTAAGGTGAACGCAAGAGAGTAACTCACCCAGGGTAAGGTAAACGCAAGAGAGTAACTCACCCAGGGTAAGGTGAACGCAAGAGAGTAACTCATCCAGGGTAAGAAAATCAGAATGCAGATGTAATATACACAGACTTTGCAAAAGCATTTGACAAATGCGATCATGGCGTAATAGCCCATAAAATACGTGCTAAAGGAATAACTGGGAAAGTGGGGAGATGGATCTTCAACTTCCTAACAAATCGAACACAAAGAGTAGTGGTCAACAGAGTTAAATCGGAGGCTGCCACTGTGAAGAGCTCTGTTCCACAAGGCACAGTACTCGTCCCCATCTTATTCCTTATCCTCACATCAGACATAAACAGAGATATACACCACAGCACCGTATCATCCTTTGCGGATGATACTAGGATCTGCATGAGGCTGTCATCTGCTGAGGACGCGGTTAACCTCCAAGAAGATATAAACAAAGTTTTCCAGTGGGCAACGGTAAACAATATGATGTTCAATGAGGACAAATTCCAACTACTCCGTTATGGAAAACTGGAGGAGATAATAACTAGAACAGAGTATACTACTGACTCCGGCCATACAATAGAGCGGAAAAATAATGTAAGGGACCTGGGAATACTAATGTCTGAGGATCTCACTTTCAAGGATCACAACAGTGCCACGATCGCACGTGCAAAGAAAATGATAGGATGGATAATGAGAACTTTCAAAACGAGAGATGCCAAGCCAATGATGATCCTTTTCAAATCACTTGCTCTCTCTAGGCTGGAATACTGCTGTACATTACCATCTCCATTCAAAGCAGGTGAAATCGCAGATCTAGAGAGTGTACAGAGATCCTTTACTGCACGTATAAGTTCTGTCAAGTACCTTAACTACTGGGAACGCTTGGAAGTACTTGACTTGTACTCGTTGGAACGCAGGAGGGAGAGATATATCATAATCTACACTTGGAAAATCTTGGAAGGAATGGTCCCAAATCTGCACACAGAAATCACTCCCTACGAAAGTAAAAGACTGGGCAAGCGATGCAAAATTCCCCCAATAAAAAGTAGGGGCGCCATTGGTACACTAAGGGAAAACACCCTAAGTGTCCGGGGCCCAAAACTGTTCAACAGCCTCCCATCAAGCATTAGAGGAATTGCCAATAAACCCCTGGCTGCCTTCAAGAGAGAGCTGGACAGATACCTAAAGTCAGTGCCGGATCAGCCGGGCTGTGGCTCGTACGTTGGACTGCGTGCGGCCAGCAGTAACAGCCTAGTTGATCAGACCCTGATCCATCGGGAGGCCTGGTCATGGACCGGGCCGCGGGGGCGTTGATCCCCGGAATAACCTCCAGGTAAGGTGAACGCAAGAGTAACTCACCCAGGGTAAGGTGAACGCAAGAGAGTAACTCACCCAGGGTAAGGTGAACGCAAGAGAGTAACTCACCCAGGGTAAGGTGAATGCAAGAGAGTAACTCACCCAGGTTAAGGTGAACGCAAGAGAGTAACTCACCCACGGTAAGGTGAACGCAAGAGAGTAACTCACCCAGGGTTACCTGGAGGTTATTCCGGGGATGAACGCCCCCGCGGCCCGGTCCATGACCAGGCCTTCCGATGGATCAGGGCCTGATCAACTAGGCTGTTACTGCTGGCCGCATGCAGTCCAACGTATGAGCCACAGCCCGGCTGATCCGGCACTGACTTTAGGTATCTGTCCAGCTCTCTCTTGAAGGCAGCCAGGGGTTTATTGGCAATTCCCCTAATGCTTGATGGGAGGCTGTTGAACAGTTTTGGGCCCCGGACACTTATGGTGTTTTCCCTTAGTGTACCAATGGCGCCCCTACTTTTTATTGGGGGCATTTTGCATCGCCTGCCCAGTCTTTTACTTTCGTAGGGAGTGATTTCTGTGTGCAGATTTGGGACCATTCCTTCCAAGATTTTCCAAGTGTAGATTATGATATATCTCTCCCTCCTGCGTTCCAACGAGTACAAGTCAAGTGCTTCCAAGCGTTCCCAGTAGTTAAGGTGCTTGACAGAACTTATACGTGCAGTAAAGGATCTCTGTACACTCTCTAGATCTGCGATTTCACCTGCTTTGAATGGAGATGTTAATGTACAGCAGTATTCCAGCCTAGAGAGAGCAAGTGATTTGAAAAGGATCATCATGGGCTTGGCATCTCTCGTTTTGAAAGTAAGGTGACCGCAAGAAAGTAACTCACCCAGGGTAAGGTGAACGTAAGAGAGTAACTCACCCAGGGTAAGGTGAACGCAAGAGAGTAACTCACCCAGGGTAAGGTGAACGTAAGAGAGTAACTCACCCAGGGTAAGGTGAACGTAAGAGAGTAACTCACCCAGGGTAAGGTGAACGCAAGAGAGTAACTCACCCAGGGTAAGGTGAACGTAAGAGAGTAACTCACCCAGGGTAAGGTGAACGCAAGAGAGTAACTCACCTGACCGTTACCGTTGGTCTTGTTGGTAAGCTTCACCTTGGCGAAGGAAACAGGTTCCTTCATCCAGTGGGAGCCGAAGTTAGGTGAGTCTGAGTGGATGTAGATGGGTGAAGGTGGTGGGTTCTCTGGCTTACCACCTGGCACCCACTCTCCGTTCACGTACTTCCACCTACGTAAGATAAGATTTTATTATTATTATTATAAGTAATTATTATTCTTATTATTATTATTATAAGTAATTATTATTATCATTATTATTATTATTATTATTATTATTATTATTATTATTATTATTATTAGTGAATGTATTTAAGCTGATCATTGACTTCACTGAGAACGTGTTCACCAAGACAAAGGTTTCAAAGTTCTCGAAGAAGTTATAAGAGGCTTCTAATACATTTCTAGTAAGATTTTAAAGTGGTTTGAAAACACATATAAGAGGGTTTCAAAACATTTTTAAAGGGTTTCAAACCTATAACTTCTAAGAGGGTTTCAAATCTGACCAGGTCTCAGAGGGCGACTCACCTGTGTGTGTCGATCTGTACAAACTCCAGAAGGATAGAGTACATGGCAGCAGCCTCCAGTCCTCCCACTGTTACCTTCACCACTGGGAACATCCTCCTGGGGAGGACAAGAACATCATCACATTAGAACAATAGAACGTTAGAACATCATATTAGGCACTAAGACTGGCACTAGTGACCTGTACCAGGGTCACTAAGACTGGTACTAGTGACCTGTACCAGGGTCACTAAGACTGGTACTAGTGACCTGTACCAGGGTTACTAAGACTGGTACTAGTGACCTGTACCAGGGTTACTAAGACTGGTACTAGTGACCTGTACCAGGGTCACTAAGACTGGTACTAGCGACCTGTACCAGGGTTACTAAGACTGGTACTAGTGACCTGTACCAGGGTCACTAAGACTGGCACTAGTGACCTGTACCAGGGTCACTAAGATTGGTACTAGTGACCTGTACCAGGGTCACTAAGACTGGTACTAGTGACCTGTACCAGGGTCACTAAGACTGGTACTAGTGACCTGTACCAGGGTCACTAAGACTGGTACTAGTGACCTGTACCAGGGTCACTAAGACTGGCACTAGTGACTTGTACCAGGGTCACTAAGACTGGTACTAGTGACCTGTACCAGGGTCACTAAGACTGGTACTAGTGACCTGTACCAGGGTCACTAAGACTGGTACTAGTGACCTGTACCAGGGTCACTAAGACTGGTATAGTGACCTGTACCAGGGTCACTAAGACTGGTACTAGTGACCTGTACCAGGGTTACTAAGACTGGCACTAGTGACCTGTACCAGGGTCACTAAGGCTGGCACTAGTGGCCTGTACCAGGGTCACTAAGACTGGTACTAGTGACCTGTACCAGGGTCACTAAGACTGGTACTAGTGACCTGTACCAGGGTCATTAAGACTGGTACTAGTGGCCTGTACCAGGGTCACTAAGACTGGTACTAGTGACCTGTACCAGGGTCACTAAGACTGGTACTAGTGACCTGTACCAGGGTCACTAAGACTGGTACTAGTGACCTGTACCGGGGTCACTAAGACTGGTACTAGTGACCTGTACCAGGGTCACTAAGACCAGCACTAGTGACCTGTACCAGGGTCACTAAGACTGGTACTAGTGACCTGTACCAGAGTCACTAAGACCAGCACTAGTGACCTGTACCAGGGTCACTAAGACTGGTACTAGTGACCTGTACCAGTCACTAAGACCAGCACTAGTGACCTGTACCAGGGTCACTAAGACTGGTACTAGTGACCTGTACCAGTCACTAATGCTGGCACTAGTGGCCTGTACCAGGGTCACTAAGACTGGCACTAGTGACCTGTACCAGAGTCACTAATGCTGGCACTAGTGGCCTGTACCAGGGTCACTAAGACTGGTACTAGTGACCTGTACCAGGGTCACTAAGACTGGTACTAGTGACCTGTACCAGGGTCACTAAGACTGGTACTAGTGGCCTGTACCAGGGTCACTAAGACTGGTACTAGTGACCTGTACCAGGGTCACAAAGACCAGCACTAGTGACCTGTACCAGGGTCACTAAGACTTGCACTAGTGACCTGTACCAGGGTCACTAAGACTGGTACTAGTGACCTGTACCAGGGTCACTAAGACTGGTACTAGTGACCTGTACCAGGGTCACTAAGACTGGTACTAGTGACCTGTACCAGGGTCACTAAGACTGGTACTAGTGACCTGTATCAGGGTCACTAAGACTGGCACTAGTGACCTGTACCAGGGTCACTAAGACTGGTACTAGTGACCTGTACCAGGGTCACTAAGACTGGTACTAGTGACCTGTACCAGGGTCGCTAAGACTGGTACTAGTGACCTGTACCAGGGTCACTAAGACCAGCACTAGTGACCTGTACCAGGGTCACTAAGACTGGTACTAGTGACCTGTACCAGAGTCACTAAGACCAGCACTAGTGACCTGTACCAGGGTCACTAAGACTTGCACTAGTGACCTGTACCAGGGTCACTAAGACTGGTACTAGTGACCTGTATCAGGGTCACTAAGACTTGCACTAGTGACCTGTACCAGGGTCACTAAGACTGGTACTAGTGACCTGTACCAGGGTCGCTAAGACTGGTACTAGTGACCTGTACCAGGGTCACTAAGACCAGCACTAGTGACCTGTACCAGGGTCACTAAGACTGGTACTAGTGACCTGTACCAGGGTCACTAAGACTGGTACTAGTGACCTGTACCAGGGTCACTAAGACTGTTACTAGTGGCCTGTACCAGGGTCACTAAGACTGGCATTAGTGACCTGTACCAGGGTCACTAAGACTGGCACTAGTGACCTGTACCAGGGTCACTAAGACTGGCACTAGTGATCTGTACCAGGGTCACTAAGACTGGCACTAGTGACCTGTACCAGGGTCACTAAGACTGGAACTAGTGACCTGTACCAGGGTCACTAAGACTGGCACTAGTGACCTGTACCAGGGTCACTAAGACTGGCACTAGTGACCTGTACCAGGGTCACTAAGACTGGCACTAGTGACCTGTACCAGGGTCACTAAGACTGGCACTAGTGACCTATACCAGGGTCACTAAGATTGGTTTCTAGTGACCTGTTTCCAGGGTCACTAAGACTGGTATAGTGACCTCTACCAGGGTCACTAAGACTGGCACTAGTGACCTCTACCAGGGTCTCTAAGACTGGCACTAGTGACCTGTACCAGGATCACTAAGACTGGCACTAGTGATTTGTACCAGGTTCACTAAGACTGGTACTAGTGACCTGTACCAGGGTCACTAAGACTGGTACTAGTGATCTGTACCAGGGTCACTAAGACTGGCACTAGTGACCTGTACCAGGGTCACTAAGACTGGCACTAGTGACCTGTACCAGGGTCACTAAGACTGGCACTAGTGACCTGTACCAGTTTCACTAAGACTGGCACTAGTGACCTGTACCAGGGTCACTAAGACTGGCACTAGTGACCTGTACCAGGGTCACTAAGACTGGCACTAGCGACCTGTGCCAGGATCACTAAGACTGGCACTAGTGACCTGTACCAGGGTCACTAAGACTGACACAAGTGACCTGTACCAGGTTCACTAAGACTGGTGCTAGTGACCTGTACCAGGGTCACTAAGACTGGCACTAGTGATCTCTACCAGGGTCACTAAGACTGGTACTAGTGACCTGTATCAGGGTCACTACGACTGACACTAGTGACCTGTACCAGGATCACTAAGACTGGCACTAGTGACCTGTACCAGGGTCACTAAGACTGTTACTAGTGACCGGTACCAGGGTCACTAAGACTGGCACTAGTGACCTGTACCAGGATCACTAAGACTGGCACTAGTGACCTGTACCAGGGTCACTAAGACTGGTACTAGTGACCTGTACCAGGGTCACTAAGACTGGCACTAGTGACCTGTACCAGGATCACTAAGACTGGCACTAGTGACCTGTACCAGGGTCACTTAGACTGGCACTAGTGACCTGTACCAGGGTCACTAAGACTGGTACTAGTGACCTGTACCAGGGTCACTAAGACTGGCACTAGTGACCTGTACCAGGGTCACTAAGACTGGTACTAGTGACCTGTACCAGGGTCACTAAGACTGGTACTAGTGACCTGTACCAGGGTCACTAAGACTGGTACTAGTGACCTGTACCAGGGTCACTAAGACTGGTACTAGTGACCTGTACCAGGGTCACTAAGACTGGCACTAGTGACCTGTACCAGGGTCACTAAGACTGGCACTAGTGACCTGTACCAGGGTCACTAAGACTGGTACTAGTGACCTGTACCAGGGTCACTAAGACTGGCACCTCTACTCTATCAACCAAATTTCAATCACTAACAGACACTGTAGTTCTGAGGTGTATCTACACTGCCTCTCAGTATGTATACACTGAGGAAAGAGAGAGAGAGAGAGAGAGAGAGAGAGAGAGAGAGAGAGATAGAGAGAGAGAGGAGAGAGAGAGAGAGAGAGAGAGAGAGAGAGAGAGAGAGAGAGAGAGAGAGAGAGAGAGAGAGAGGGAGAGAGAAGAGAGAGAGAGAGAGAGAGAGAGAGAGAGAGAGAGAGAGAGAGAGAGAGAGAGAGAGAGAGAGAGAGAGAGAGAGAGAGAGAGAGAGAGAGAGAGAGAGAGAGAGCAGACGAGGTGAGAGGGGCGGCGGCAACAACAAAGTAACAGTTTATTGCTCACTCTCACCTGAGGCCACTATTAGGCTTGTTATAAAACCTCTCTCTCTCTCTCTCTCTCTCTCTCTCTCTCCACCCGTGTATTCCCAAGCGGATTACCTTCAAACCCTTGCTGGCACCTCCTTCAGGTGCCAACGTCTTACGGCGGTGCACCGGAGCCACTACCACGTCCGACCCTGACCCCAGGAGCCGACCAACCCTAGTAAACGAACCCGAGTAAACGAACCCAAGTAAACGAACCCGGAACCGCCGGAATAGTGGGGAGGTAGCGGGGGCCTGAGAAATCGTGAAGGCTACTCTGAGAGCAATGTTACCGTAAGTTACCTTCAAGGTAATGAACGGTCGTAACAGTGTAGGAGATACCAGGTAGAGATTATATGTAACCTGGGATTACACACACACACACACACACACACACACACACACACACACACACACGAGCTATGACTCGACCCCTGCAACCACAATTGAGTACACGATGTGAAACTAATGAGGAGAATACAAACGGACGAGGATCAGGTAACCCTAGAAGGAGAGCTGGACAGGCTGCAAGCCTTATCCGACAAATGGCTCCTGGAGTTTAACCCCCAGCAAGTGCAAAGTTGTGAAGCTTGGGGAAGGACAAAAGAGACCGCAGATGGAGTACAGGCTAAAATATCAGAGACTGCAAAACTCACTCAAGGGAAAGGATCTTGGGGTGAGCATCATACCGAGTATATCTCCTGAGGCGTACATCAACCAAATAACTGTTGCAGCACACGGGCTTTCCGACATGTAAGTATGGAGTCATTCAAGACACTGTATACCGTGTACGTCAGGCTCATATTGGAGTACGCAGCACCAGGATGGAACCCACACCTAGTCAAACACATTAAGAAATTAGAGAAAGTGCAAAAGTTTGCAGCAAGACTAGTCCC